GAAGCTTTTTGGTGTCGCCTCAAGCAAGGTTAGTGTTCTCTCTCTTCATACTGTACTGTACACTATTTCATATTTTTGTGGTTAAAAAAAAAATACATATGGTTCAGAATGGATTAACCTTATTTACACTGAACCTTATGGGGAAATCTGATTCGGTTCGCGACCAGAATCGTGGAACGAATTAAGTTCGTGAACTGAGGTACCACTGTATCTATAACTATGGTCTGCTCTTCACCAACAACTGATGAACCAGGAAACCTATTTCTGAACTGTGTCACTTCAGCCCTCATCAAACCAGGACATCGTGAAATACTTCAATCACATACATAAAAAAGCAAGCATGTCCAAAAAAAAAAAAAATTGGTTACAATCCTTCCTTCTCAACATCAAATTTTCTACAAGTGTTTTATATAGAACTTCTTCCAGTCATGCAATTACCACGCTTGAAATTTTTCAAGACAGAGACAGCTGTTAAGTATTTATTTCTTTTTTGAAAACTAGAAGACTGTCTTGAAGCTGGTAGAGGAGAGGTTCCTTGTGAGTTTAAACAGCCGAGAAAAGGCTCTTCCCTAACATATAAAAAATATCTAGTATTCCTTCAGTATTGCTTGTTTTAATATATCTCTCAAAGATTTATCTATATTAAAAATGTTTGTTTATATATCTCTTTCAAACAACCAGATCTGCAAAATTCCCTTCTACTTTCAGTGTTTGCCAAATTATTAATCAGGAGGAATTAGGAAAATTATGTATACACTGATGACTCAGAGCAAAAACCAACCAACCACACACACACACAAATAAGTTGCAGAAAAGCTAAATGTAAAATAGCCATCGAGAAACATGCATCCTAGCCAAGTACCTGCTGCCGTTCCACTGATGTCATTGTAGGAGTCATGCTTATGGACCGAATAGCATCCATGCTGTTTTTGGTCAGTGCTAGAGGTTGCTCCATGCTTAAGCTTGGGATTGAGGCATATATGTGATTAGCATGAAGGCCCATTGTTGGCGCGACAGCCCGTTCTATTGGACTACGACTCCTTTCTCTATGTTCTTTTCGGTAATCCCCATTTGCAGTCTTCATTCTAAGAGAAAAACAGACAAACCATTACTCTAGCGTTGTGCATTTAATTCAAGGAACACACTCCAAAGAAAAGTTTAATCAAGTATCTGAAATGAAATACATTCACCAGCTAACCTAACAAATATGTGCAACCTTAAATTATTAACATTCACATTAATAACAATTATCTGTGGAGATAATAGGTAAAAATGGTATACTGGACTTACTGTAAGAATCCATTTTGTACAGTGTACCTGACAGGGGACCTGAATATCTCCCTCCCACTTGCTCTGCAGGCAGGACTTCAAATTCTTATGCTTACTTTCTGTGGGAAGGACTAGTCTCTTCCCCAGTTTCAGAATGACAAGCTGAAGAAAACCTGAGAAAAGTAGGAATCAGGGAGTACTATGAAGAAACTATACTCAACTGCAGATACTGCTGAGACCCCAGAGACATTTTTCTGTCCCATTCTGAAACCACCGGGATGGGTTGGATGTGCTCTCTGTGCCGTAGAAAGTGGGCCTTCATGGTAAGCCTATTGTATAATTTTTCTGCAATGGAGCCAGGGAATCCAAAAGGAAGACATACCAGAACTGTCTCTGGGGGCTGGATTATCTATCAATAGGGCCCTTAGTCTTGACAGGAATTATGTTCTGCAGCACACCCCTGCCAAATGACACTTTAGCTGAGAATTGAAAGTCATGCTTGTACCTAATAAAGGAGAGTATGGAGCACCATGTGGTATGCCCACTAATGTTCCCAGGGTGGTGTTAGTGTTGAAGGGGTCCAAGGCAGCTATGATTCCAATTGAGTGGGCCACTATACTCTGTGGAGCAGATTTACTCCAAGCTTCATTGGCTAATTTGATGCATGCTTCAATCTATCTGGAGGTCATGGTAGGAGATGCTTCACAGCTCTGGTTAGGCTATTAGAAGGCTATTAAGATACTGTCTGGGGCTCTGAACTATTCTGCAGACTGTCTGTCCACCTGTTCTCTGGGTATCCTCCCCACCTTTATTCACTCTGATTCCTGAAACCATTGCTGCCATGGAAGCATTCATTGCGGGGTATCCTAAAAACCTGTCTAGGACTGATTGTGGGAATGTGTAAAGCTCTGGGGTCCAGAGAATATCATTCATCATAACTCATCATGCATCATAACACAGAGTCTTCCATTCTGACTCAAGGATCTTGTTAAATATCTTGGGAAACATGAAGCATGAGCTGGGATTGTTAGCCACGAGAACACCAGTGGGTCCATGAACGTGAATAGTACCTTTACTCTCAGAATCTTGCAGATTTTCCTGAATAGTCTTGAAAAATCTGCTTTCTGGAAAAGCCTAGTGGACTCAGGGACTGGCTATTGGTCTGTTTCCTCATTTAGGGACAACTCCCCATACTCCCTATCTGACTAGCCTTGAGGAGAGGAATCTGAGTTTTATTGTCCCATAAATGGGGGAGACTGCATGGCTCTCTCTTACTTGGTGCCATGGCTTTTCTCCCATGGTGGGGATTTGGAGAACTGGCATCTGAGAATGGAAGAGGGGGGTGGGGATCAGTACCTGATCAGTACCACACCCCCAATCTCCTTCCTCTTCTTCCACAGGCATTACCCCTGCTGAGGCCCAAGATGGTGTTTCCTACCATTTTCATCCTTCAAGGGATGAGTGATTGTTGGAGCAGTCTCAGTGCAACAAGACTGTGGTCTAATTAATGATCCTGAGGCTTTTCTGGGGGTCTCTAGCATCCAAACAGTATGGAACCTTCAGGGTAAGGAGATATCTCTTGTTGGAGCCAGTTGATTAATTCCAATGCTCTATTTCCTCAGTGAAAATCCATGGGGAAATCCTATCCCTGATGCTGCTGACTTCTATCCTCTCTGATGCCTGGGTCATCTGGCTTCCCAGAAGAGTTGCAAGGAGCCTTCCAGAGGCTGTGAGCAGCTTGTGGTTGGAAACTCAGCAGCTGTGGCATTAATCATATTCACACATACATCCCAGGAGGGGGAACCATGGCAGCAAGACAAAGGAAAGTGTTGTTGCGCCTTTGGAGGCTGGCCCCAGCTGTCAAATATGTCCTCCAGCATGTCCATGGACAGCAAGTTGCTGTCCATGAGTTGATCAGCATGGCATCTACTGCTGAACTACGCAAAAGAAAAAAAAATGAAAATTCTGGTCTAGAAAGCCTGGCCACTTGGAGTAGTGGAACTGCATGCTTGCCAGAGAAAGGAAGGCCAGAACTGGGGGATGGGCTATTCCACCCCATAGAAAGCAGACTCGGAGAATTCTTAAGTCTGGCCTCCAGAGCAAGTGGCATGGAGATAACTACTTTCAGATGCCCTAGGACCACTGTTAGAAAACAATTTTTCTTATCTTCTTAATCCAGCATTTCATCACAGCACATGTTTTTATGCCTCCCTACTATGAATAGAGATCATTACTTTATACCCACTCACTGATAACGAGGGTTATTTGTGAGGATAAAATGAAGGGAGAATCTTGTGTAAGCTGCAATGAGCTCCAGGAGAAAGGTGAGATATAAATCAAATAAATTAAATTTCCAACTGCTATTGTTAGAACATGTGAAAAGGCTCTCAGGCACACTCTTACAACAGGGAATACCACATCTGATTACCCAATAATAAAGCTATTATGGAATAGAAATGTTGCCAACTGAATAAAATCCAGGTACTTCAACAAGGGGACCTGCTGCATTTATTTCTTCAGTTAGTCATTTAGCAGTTCTGCTTATCCTCAGTGAAATATACCTTTTCACAGAGGTATTAATTACATGTTGCACTGAAATAAAAATGAAAGCTTTGTTTATAAAATGTTAATGCATTTAACATATGATCTTGTACACACCAACAATGCCTTGAAAAAAACATGAGTCATGTGAAAATAAACTTTCTAATTTGCTGACTTCAACAAACTAATAGAGGACAATGTTTTAGTGTGTTGTGTGTGTCTGTCTGTGATACCATCAATTATCATTCCGCCTCTTGCTTTGTGAAATCTATAGAGAAACCAAAAACTCTGTGGTCTTCCATGTCCTGAAGAGTCCTCCCTCCCCATTCCAAAACGGAAGATTTTAGAGATCCCTAAAGGCAAGAAACAAATTTAAAGGATTTATGATGAGATGTTAAGGCATAGCTGGTGGACTGCACTGGGCTTAAAGAAGTTATGCATATGTAACTTTTATACATTTGCCATCGCTTCAGTTGTACTTATCCTACTGATGTGTAAGACTCAGAGATGTGTGTTACTACAAAATTTGATCCATTTTATCAAACAGCTCAGTTTTACTTGGACTGACTCACAGGCCATCCGATTTGACTCTGGCAACGAATCCAAATTCTCAGTTTGAGAGCGCCAAAGTACAGTGCCTCCCACTATCCCTGAAAACCAAAAATGGCTGTAACATCTTCTTCAGAGTGACTGTGTTGTTGGACATTTTTGGGAGCATCAGGAGATGGAAGTTGCAGTTGTTTTTGTGTCAGATATATCTGAACATACACTTACAACACAGAAGTGGCCTTATGCAGATAAACAAATAAAGAAAGCCAGAAGAAACAGTGAAGTATTTGTGAAAAGGGAATCATGAGATTGGTGAATTTGCTTCCCTTCCTCAACTATGTGAGGTTTTTTTTCCGGGGTGCAGGGGAGAAAAGGTACTTCATAAGAAAGTTACATGGCTCCTAAAATTATCCCAGAAAAACTGCAAAATATCTGAGTGAACACTGCATAATTAGGGTGAATGAACAAAAGTTTTAAATTTTCTTCTGTTACCACCAACGCACCCACGCCCACAGAAAAAACATGGAGTGGCAGAAGCAGGAGCAAACAGCCATTGCCATAACCTCTCAGGTGCAAACAAACTATTTTAACAATTCTGCTCTTGGGACGAAAACTGTGCAGCCATATTATTAAAATCTTCTTCCCAAACGTTGGGATTTCAAAGTCCTGCTAAACCTCTGACTCTGGCTGAAGTCACTGCTGTCAGTCACAAAACTAAACTCTTTCCTTCCTTTCCTCCACCTCCTGCATCCCACCCCCAAATCTTTTCTTTATATGGAGAGCTTAAGGGGAAATATATACATTTTTGCAGTCTCACTGTATCTCTCCAAAACATTAGCAAAGATTTGGCAGCATTCACATTTGCTGCAAGTAAACTCCAGTCCAGAGATATTTTGAATCTGAAATTTCTCCAAATCTGATGAACATCCCTAGGAAGAACAGTCAGCCTATATGGGTATGGCAAGGAGTATTAATCTAACAAGGAGATCTTTTGAAGGCAGTGGCAACTAGAAATAAATTGTTTAGGGGGGAAATCCTCTCTTTTCTCTTTTACTAAAGATTTTATATTTAGTTGCATATATCCTACTGGAAAATGTAAGCATACATATTTACAAGTACAAGGTGTGGTATTGCTCATACAAAAGCATTTCAGTGCCACACGCTGCTAATTGGCAGGTAACAGCAGAATGCTGGAGTAGCAAATTAGAGATAGCTTTAGCCTAACAGATAGTACTCTAATTTTAAAAGATCTTTTTCCTTTCTTTTGATTTCTGTCTTAAGAGTCTTGAGAATTCGACTCAAACTAAGACACTCTAATTAATGACTATTATATCATTCCAAAGGGGCCTCATCCATTACCTCTTTTCTTTGCATGCCCCTGGAAGGGCTGACATAAACACAATATATCGTTGAATTAAAGTACAGATAAACCACCTCTTTTATCATCTTAAAATAGTAAAGCTAAAAAAAGTTTTAAAAACTAAATGCACAGGCATGCATATCAACATAATGTCTATCTAATGATTATGTTTATCTCTCTATCTTTGGATACATGTGTTTGCCTTTTTATCTCAGCTAAGAATAAAATGTATCACTTTACTTGCTCTGTGAATTTAATATACATTTCCTGACCTTAGTCTTTCTAAACCAGTTATATGTCACTACCCTAATCTCTTGAATGACAAATGATAATGAAGCAGTAGGTGGCAAATCTTTGTGTATGAAA